GCGCCGGTGTAACCGGTGTGTTATATACCCCTGGAGCTTTTTACCCCCGGTACATCATACCTATGCAAGTTTTACCCCCCGGTAAAATGTGCCTAGGCATGTCCCCCCCCCTTCCTTTAACACCGAGCTGTGGGACACAGCCGAGACAAAAAGTGCTGACCCGACCAATAAATGACTGTTAAACCCGTTGTCATCAGCTCTGCGGTAAACAGGTGACGGATTCCGAAAGTCGCCGCTCTGTCTTTCTCCCACTAGGAACGCTCCAGAGTGCGAGAGACGCGGCGCGATCAGTGGCTATGCACTCGCGTAACAGTCGGGTCACTCTGTAATAACACGCATAATAATATGCCAAATGGACGACATTCTCGAGTTTTTACCAAACTTTGGGGTGTTTGGGGTTTTTTTTTGGGTCTATATTTTGAAGCTTAAATGAGTATAAAAGCGTAATAGTCGGTTTACAGGTTTACAGATGTTTAACTTGTCGCGGAACGAAAAGTGCGGGTGCCGGGGGGTAAAACATGCCTAGGCACATTTTCCCGGGCAGGGAGGAGGAGGGGAGATGAAGCGAGCGCGTTTTGGGCTGTCCGAGGCGTGCACGGGTAGTGCCGAGCGGAGCTGGGCCGAGCTGGCCGAGCCGAGCCGGGCGCCGAGCCGAGCGCGACCCGAGCGGCTCGGGCCGAGCCGAGCGCCGGCCGGCGAGCAGCCCGACAGCCCATGGCGCGCAGTAAATACATCAATCTAGGAGTAATTTTTACGTGCCGCGTTAATGTATGCCTATACTGGGTGAAAAAGTACGAGGAACACGCCTGTGCAAACGGTTTGATCGCGCGGCGTCTAGTTTGGGTTTTCATGGCCCTCCACTGTGGCCCCCCAGTACCCCCGAGTTGAATGGAGGGCTATGGAAACCCAAACTAGACGCCGCGCGATCAAACCGTTTGCACAGGCGTGTTCCTCGTACTTTTTCACCCAGTATAGGCCTATAACATTAACGCGGCACGTAAAAATTACTCCTAGATTGATGTATTTACTGCGCGCCATGGGCTGTCGGGCTGCTCGCCGGCCGGCGCTCGGCTCGGCCCGAGCCGCTCGGGTCGCGCTCGGCTCGGCGCCCGGCTCGGCTCGGCCAGCTCGGCCCAGCTCCGCTCGGCACTACCCGTGCACGCCTCGGACAGCCCAAAACGCGCTCGCTTCATCTCCCCTCCTCCTCCCTGCCCGGGAAAATGTGCCTAGGCATGTTTTACCCCCCGGCACCCGCACTTTTCGTTCCGCGACAAGTTAAACATCTGTAAACCTGTAAACCGACTATTACGCTTTTATACTCATTTAAGCTTCAAAATATAGACCAAAAAAAAACCCCAAACACCCCAAAGTTTGGTAAAAACTCGAGAATGTCGTCCATTTGGCATATTATTATGCGTGTTATTACAGAGTGACCCGACTGTTACGCGAGTGCATAGCCACTGATCGCACCGCGTCTCTCGCACTCTGGAGCGTTCCTAGTGGGAGAAAGACAGAGCGGCGACTTTCGGAATCCGTCACCTGTTTACCGCAGAGCTGATGACAACGGGTTTAACAGTCATTTATTGGTCGGGTCAGCACTTTTTGTCTCGGCTGTGTCCCACAGCTCGGTGTTAAAGGAAGGGGGGGGGGCATGCCTAGGCACATTTTACCGGGGGGTAAAACTTGCATAGGTATGATGTACCGGGGGTAAAAAGCTCCAGGGGTATATAACACACCGGTTACACCGGCGCGTAGATATTTTCGTCGGCTTCGACGGCAACGTGCAGGCACCTCCTCGTGGTGGGCCATGGGTAGGTAAAGCAATCTTCCTTGCAGAGCTAAGACCCGCACATTCGCTAACAACCCCTACAGAGCGCTAAAAAGGGGGCTTTTGGCAAAGTTTCGAAAAAAATGGGAAATTCTCGCAAAGTTTTCCGGCTTTATGGCGCCCTCCACGAGGCCGCCGTCGGTGCCCTGGGGCTGGGCTACCTTCTCCCCTCCCCCCACCTCCATTTCATGCACATTGGTCACCTTGGGGAGGTCTCTAGCGGTCAGAACAGTACGAAAAAGTTGAAAAAACGGCAACATTTTCCTAAAAATTTATATTGTTTGAGGCCTGGGCGCCGAATGAAGGGGCTCACTTAGGTTCTAAGTAGACATTATTTTACTCATTAGTGTTGGTAAACGGAATCCAGGCCCCAAACCGCCAATCGAAGCTCTACAGGAAGAAAAAACAAGTAAAAAAGCCAAAAATGCGATTTTTGCCGCTTTTTGATATAAAACGGCTGGTGGGGTGATGAAGCCTATGTCTGATCGCAAAATCCAATACATATCTGGAATCAGCGTAAAAAAACGAAAATTTTAAGACCGGTCGAAAAGCCGATATCGAAAGTCGCCTCCCAATGCTGGCCCCAAAGTGTGGGCCACCCGGGAAACCACCCGACCCCAGGCGACCCCAGCCACCTCGCCGCGACCCCTCAAAATTTTTTTCGCGGCCCATTTGGGGTCGCGCCCCCAAAGGGTTGGGGAAAACCGCTGAGCTAGAGGGGCAAGTAGGGGCATTTTTTGGAATCGGGGCAACGAGACAAAGGCAACGGTGCTAGTTTGGAGCGTATTTCTAGTGTTTGGGCGAGTCGATCAATTTCCCCCCCCGACTTGCCCCCGAGTTACCCCTGATTTCCCCCCCGACTTGCCCCCGATTTCCCCCCCGAGTTCCCCCCGAGTTCCCCCCGACTTGCCCCTGAGTTCCCCCGATTTCCCCCCCGATTTCCCCCCCGATTTCCCCCCCAAAGTTCCCCCCGAGTTCCCCCCATTTCCCCCCCGACTTCCCCTTGAGTTACCCCCGAGTTCCCCTGAGTTACCCCCGAGTTACCCCCGAGTTGACCTGGCCCTCAGTTTGTCAGGGGTTCGGCTGTGACCTGAAAGGCTGACTCCGGGCTGAGTGTCTGTCTCTCTCGCACCCACGGGGCGTCCCGTAGTGGAGCGAGAGAGACAGGGAAGCAGCCGGCCGTGGCACGGAGACGACGACGACGACGACGTCGGCGCCCTGGAGGCGACGCCGCGGGTCACAGCGCGTCACGAGGGAACTAAAATGGGAAAAATGAGGGGGAGAGAGAGAGAAGGGAGAGAGAGAGAGAGAGAGAGCGCGAGAAAAATCGGGGCACTTAGGGAATGGCCACTTTATTTAGGCCGGACTGAAAGTTCGGTGCCTGGGAAGCGAGCCATCTGACGACACGACAGCGCGACGCAGCGACGCAGCGCGACAGTGTGCTTCAGCTTGAAAAGGCAAGTGACAAGCGACATGGGGTCGCGCTCCTCCCCGCCGCCGCCGCCGCCGTCGCGACGCATTTGCCAGTGTGGTGGCTGCCGTGCGTGCTCCACGAATTTGTCAGCGCGGCAGCGCTCCATCGGGACTGTCGGCGCGACACGGAACACGAACGCACAGTCCGTCAGACTAGTAGTCAGACCGCCCGCGGGCACTTGACGCCCGTCGCGAGGCGCGTCAAATGGGGAACTCTCTCTCTCTCTCTCTCTCTCTCTCTCTCTCTCTCTCTCTCTCTCTCTCTCCCTCTCTCTCTCCCCTACGGCACGGCCGGCCGGCGAGCGCGCCTGAGACAGCAGCGACGAAAACCTCGGCTGATATACGCGGCGGCATGACGACAGCGGCGCTGCAGTCGCTCTGTCTCCCTCGCACTCGTTGGGCGCGCCGCAGGGGTGCGAGAGAGACAGAGTTTCAGAATCGGCGCGCAGCTGCGCCCGTCTCAGTGTTGTTTTCAAACGAAACGTTTTTCGACGATTCAATTAACAGGCGCGCCGAGCGAGAAAGCCGTTTCACCGGCCGGCCGTTGGCAGTGCCGTGAACGCCGTGCCGATGCGGACCAATCGGCTGAGGTAAGTGCATTAAAACAATCCCTGGCCAATCCACGGTTTATGTCTCAATGCGAGCGGGCGGCCGGTCGGTAGTCAGAACCTGTTGTCTGGAATGTGCCGCGCGGCACTAACTCTACAACGCCCGTAGGTACGGAAAAAAGATTCACTCCGAAAACCTAACCTGCAAACGGCAGCCCAAGCCGGCCAATAGGGTACTTTCGTAGAAACCCCGAAAAGGGAAACAAGCAGACCAGCAGACGCCAAATTGGCCCGGAAAAAATAACCTCTCTTCGGATCCAAACTATAGCCGAGCTGTACAAATTGCTCCCCGAAACACATATGCACTGCAAACAAGTATCAAACAACTGTTTATGTTCAAGTGTGGCCGATACCTTTGACGAACGTGTCTTTCCCATGTCAAGTTTGGATCTACTTCCGCCGGCGTCTGTGTGCTTCCGGTTCAGGGATCTACGAAAGTACCCTATAGGGTATTCCGGAGAAGAGCTGGACCGGAAGTTGAGAAGATATCAAGAAGAAGAAACGCCGGACTTGTATGAGAATATAACTCTGCGGAAGCGGCAGAACGGCGACGCAGACGCTCATTCTTACATATTTCGCATACTTTGTTCTTCTTGATTTCTTCTCAACTTCCGCTCCAGCTCTTCTCCGAAGTACCCTATTTCAGATAAGGTCAAACAGAACCACACACTAGCCCGGCGCTCGGATCGGGAACCGCTTATACTGCATCAACAACGCCGTGTCCAACTTCCTTAGTCGATCCGTTTTCGGCCCCTGGGGATCGACCAGATAGATACACCGCCAGTCACGCGCACACCAACACCCACGCGAACACGCTGCTGCAGTGTACACGCGGTCCGCAAACACAACACGCGTTTTCGACAATGAGTCAACAACAGCCCTACCGGAGGGAATGCCCGGCCTGCCCGGCCCAATCGGGGGCCCATGACCACGCCAAGCGACGCTAAGGTGGGGCGGGAGTGGGGGGCCTGGAGCCGCACCGCGCCCCGCCCCACCCCGCCCCGCCCCACCCCGCCCCGCCCCACCCCGCGCGAGCCAGCCCGCCCCACCACAGCGCGACCACGCTAGCTCCGCAGGCAGTATCAGTCCGAACCCTGTCCAGGCAGGACGTTACGCCGCCCCGCTCCGTGCCGGTGTGCCAGTACGAGCTGCAGCTCGCGAGGAGTCACTGCGGCATTTGACGCCAGGACTGTGCTGTGCGGAAAGCTCGCGTGTGCTGTGTTGCCGTGCTGTGTGTGTGTTACCGTCTGTGTCTGTGTTGTTGTTGGTGTGCAAACCGGAGCAAGGATATAAGCGACTTGAAGTGCCGCATCAAGACGTTGTGTGTTGTCATGTCAGTGTGTGAGTGTCGGTGATCGAGACAGTGTGTCGCTCTCCTCGGATATCATGGCGGCGCTGCCGAAGCTCTCCAGCATGGGATACCTCGTCGTGTCCGTCGTCCTTCTTCTCCTACAAGGTGGGTGTCTTCGCGGTCCTTTGACTTCCCTACCCGCTGCTCTGCCTGTCTCTCTCGCCGGCCCGTTCCGAGCGGGTGCGAGAGAGACAGAGCGAGTCGCCGACAGTGTCGCGGTTTTATTTAAGCCCGCCGAGTTCGAATAGCAGCGCCAAGCCGTTTATAGCGGCAAGTTGACAGACAGCCTTCGCGGAACAAGATCACTCCAAAGCCAATTTTACCCCGGCAAGCGGCGCCACTGGAAGGGAAGAGCGTTACGCAGCGGCGGTCGAACGCGGTCAATCGCGGTCAAATGGCGCCGCGTGTGCCTTTGAATTTCTAATATCTTACCGCCAACACATGATCGGTGTTCTTCACTTGTTGTTCCGCCGTTCCGCCCCGCCCACGGCGACCGACTGACCGACCGGGCCTCCGCTCTATTATCGGAACGTGCACTTTTCACCGGGGCAGGACCTGCCGGCAGCCTGCTGCACGCGATGCCTATCAATGCGTTGGTCAGTCGGCAGTCAGTCAGTCAGCAAATCAGTCGCCAAATCAGCGAGCAAGTCAGCGAGTGAGTCAGTGGGGCAGGGATTCCTCCGGGCGTGGGAACGCCGTGTGGGAAGGTGGCGCTGAATGCGATGGCCCGATGGCCCGGCCGTGACAAAACAACAGCACAGTGCGAATTGCTGCCTTTCGTTGTTCGCACCCCCGGCCGCCTTGGCCGCCCGCCCCGGGGTCCATAAAACAGGTGCAAAAGACAGCGGACTGATTCCACGTCTCTGTCGTCTCTGTCGCTCTCGTGGCGCGTCAGGCAGGTGGGGGGGGGAGAGAGGCAGCGCGCTTTTGGGGATCAGCGTGCACCTGCACCACGGCCGCCTCGCCGCGTCGTCGCACAGTGGGCCAGGAGACCCGTGGAGGCAGCCAAAATCCCGGACGCGTTTTGAGCTCCAGAGTCGCTAAATGGGACTCGAACCGAACGTGCGACCCCACCAATGGATTGCTCTCCGAACGAGGAATCCATTGGTGGGGTCACACGTTCGGTTCGAGTCCCATTTAGCGACTCTGGAGCTCAAAACGCGTCTAGAGTTTTTTGTCCGCCTCCACTGGTCTTCTGGCCCACTGTGCGTCGTCGACGTGGTGTGGCGGTCGCGTCGTGGTCGACCTTCCAGGACGGCGTTTAGAATTCGGTGGCAGTGTCAAAACGACTTACGGCGAGGGCGTGCCTCCCCGGCGTCCCCGGCGTGCCCGTCACCGCACTAGTAGTCGCTCAGCGCGGGGGAGGCCGGGGAGACTTTTCGGGGACGGCGCTAATATTTCATAACTTGAGGTGTTTAGTCGCGCCATTGCTCATGCCTAGGACGGTCTTACTCGTAACGAGTCCGCGGTGGGGTGGGGTGGGGTGGGGTGGGGTGGGGTCCCTGACCAAAAGGGCGTCCCTTGCGGCCTGCTCGCGGCGGGCGGACCCGACCCCCGTTGCAAATTTTTCCACCGCAATATTGTCGTTGTTTTACGAGAGCCGGCCGGGGAAGCAGGGTGCCTTGCTGCAATGTTGCTGTTGATCCCCGCAGACAGACTCTCATATGAGTCTCATATCAGCTGGCTCTGCGTTTCATAACGTGTGGCATGCGGGCCGCCCGCCCCAACCCTGTGCCCCCTGTCGCTCTGTCTCTCTCGCACTCATGGGGTGTCCCGTGTGGGTGCAAGAGAGACAGAGCGACGAAAACGACTCTCGGAATCGGTCTGCTGCGATCCGCCCGCGTGTCCCCGCCTTTTCTGCGAATCGTCTGTGAATCCGCGTACACACCGCGTGTTGGTGTATTCTGGTTCTTTTCACCGTCGTCGTCGCTCTGTCTCTCTCGCACTCATGGCGCGTGCCGTAGGGGAGCGAGAGAGACAGAGCGACTCCGGCCTGCTTGCGTGCGGGGGTCATTTCTTCGCCATCAACTTCAAGTTGGGGCTTGGCGGCGCGGGGCGGGGCGGCGCAAACTTTGCGATATTGGCTCTTTTCGGTGACGGTACTCGCGGTGCTTAATAATTTCGATCCGAGTTGTACATAGTGCGCCGCGCGCGGTAGGGTTCCCTTCGAAGGGAGTCCACTGAGCGAAAAAGTTAACTTTATCTCTACGCCCGGAGGCGTTTGGTTTTCGGAGCAGCCAGCCGCCAGCAGAATGATGCCGAGAGTCGTTTTCGTCTCTCTCGCACTCGTGAGGCGTCCCGCTCTGGTGCGAGAGAGACAGAGCGACGAAAGCGACTCTCGGAATCGCCGCCTGTAAAACGACGGCGAAACAGTGTACCAGTATGGGTTTACGCGGCGCGGCCATCGGTTTGGCTGCCGTCTCAATGGGCCGGCAAGTCATGCCGCCCGTGCGGCCACGCCACTGCCAAGGCGCGGCCACGGCGCGGCCGGTACGCGCACAAAGAGCGTGATTTTGATGCCTTAATTACGCCGGTATTCGTGGCACGCTCACACTCAGACACACACACACACTCACACACAACACCACCACCGTAAGGTCATGCCACGCGGGGCTGCTGCGCTTTGGCTGCACTGACTCGGCACAGCAGAAAGTAGAAGTGCGATAATTGCCTAAAAACGAATTATAATTTTTATTCGTGAAAAAGGACTGTCGGTTTCCGTCCGAGTGTGATGGGTGTTCATGCAAAAGGAGCAGGGAGACGATGGCGACGAAGGAGTGCCCTTAATTACCATTCTGCCATCCTGCACGAGTACTGGAGGTACACTGGAGGCCCTGGAGGTCCAGGAGTGCAATCAAGTGGAGCGGAGAGACTCGCCGAAAAGACGTTGGAAAGACGTTGAAAGGACGCCCTGGTGCCGTTGTCGACCTGGGCGGGGCAAGGCCCGGCAAGGCGGGGCCCCGACGGGGTCACCGTGTAAAAGAAAGTTTGACATTCAGGAAGTCCAATCTGTGGCCGCGCGGCCCAATTTGAGGGCCCAGGGGGCTCTCCGCGCGCGGGGCGGGGCGGGGTGTGGGGGGGCGGGGCGCGGCGGGGCGGGGCAGGGCAAGGCCCCCGGAGGCTCCCAGGGGGCCGTCGTGTAAAAGGGGGAAGGGAGGGGGGGAGACCACCCAAACGGTATGGCCGTGGGCTATGGACTCGAGTGAGAAATCAAAGTCACTTGCGCATTGTAACGGCGCGGTGTGGCGGGGCGGGGGGCCCAAGTGCTGCAATCCCCATAAACCACGAGCGGCGTTTCGCACGAGCGGGCGCGGTAGTGATGAGCAAGTGCATGATGCAGATGGAACGCCAGTCCTGGCGGGTCTTCAAGTCTTCCTCCTCCGCCGTCCGGCCGGGTCCAGCCCTGGGTCGCGGACTCGGACTGCCTGGCTGGCTGGCTGACCGCAGCGCTGTTTGGGCCAGGGCCTTGGCCAGGGCTCTAGCTTTGGCTTTGACTGTACCGCGGAGTCGGCGGTGCCGGACTGGAACTCACTCACCCGTCCAGACGGCCTGAATGCGGTTTAATTAAATTGACTTTATTAGTGCAGCAGCCATGCCGTGTTTTCCTGTTGGCGACCCTCTTGCCTTTTCCCGTTTTCCGCTTCGCGCGGAGAGTGAGGGGGAGAAGGACTCGCTGCGAATTGCCCGCTCTTCATCCGGTACTCATTTCGAGTCGAAAATGTCACTTTGCATGAGCGCGGCCGGAACCCCGTCTCTCGACGCGTAGCGTTTTATTCAGATCTCATTACATTCTGAATGTAATGCGGCGGGGGGGGGAGAGAGAGAGAGAGAGAGAGAGAGAGAGAGAGAGAGAGAGAGAGAGAGGAGAGAGAGAGAGCCTTGCGGCTTGCGGCCTTTCGCCGTGACACGTCCGTTCACACCTCCTCCTTCACCTCCTCGCTCTGCCCGAGGCGTCGTAAAACGGCGCGAATATCGAAGGGACGCCGCGAGGTGTCCGTGCACTCCGTGGCTCGCCGTGGCACTCCGTGCGGCGAGGCGTTTATTGCGCCCACGTCTCTACGTGACAATCTGGCGTCAAAAAAAGAAGAAGGGGGAGAAAGAAGCCGCTCTTGCGAAACGATTTTTATTTTTTTCGGTCTTAATTTCCGGTTCGGTGCGGCGGTGTAGGTTCTGGTTGCGGGTGGCCGCCCCGGCCGCGGCGAGGGTTGCTTGCTTTGCGGGGTTCCGGGTTCGACGCCACCTGGCCGCCGGGCGCCTCCCTTCTGGTGCGAGGTGCGAGGCCTGCTGCGGGCGTGTGGGTGTGAGCGTGGGTGTGTCCGTGTAGTTATTGCATTTATTCTCGCCCCAAGCCATTCGCCCATACATGCGGCACAACGCGCCGACGGGTGCAAACTACGCGCGGCACTGTTAGAGCACTGGTAACACTGCGGCTGGTTAGCGGGCAGATTCACACCGGGGCACGGCGGACGCGCGCACGTGCGCATAAGTGTCAACGAAACCAAATGGCGGCACAAAAAGAAAAGGATTGAATATTTTTCGTCGTCCTCCTGGTGCGCGAGAGCGTGTGGCAACGGAGGATTTTAACACGAAAACACAATTTTTTTCTGGAGGGGTGTCAAGGTTTTTATTTTTCGTGTCGGGTATGTCGTCGCTGCACGAGCTCGCTGCAGCGGTTCGAATTAATTTTCAAACGAACTGCTTGCTTCGTCGCGCTGGTTGACTCCGGCTGGCTGGCCGGCCGGGCGCTCGGCTCGAGTGTCGCCGCACCGGGCGATTTATCGGCTTGACGAAAACTAATTGATTCATAAATGTTGATCGCGTGATCGTGGGACTGGGCTGGTCGGCCGGACGGGCCGGACTCGGTGTAACAGGCGGCGTATGAGCCTGCACACGCAAATCAGCTGGCCCCCCGCCAGTGCCCCGCCAGTGGGGCCCGGCTCGGACTCCTCGTCGGGGACCTCGATGAATCAATCGCCTTCCCCTCCCTCACGTGCATTACGGCTGCTGTTGTGCGCGGGAAGGGAGGGGAGGGGAGGGGGAGGCCGGCGATGGAGACATCTCTTGGCGGCCGCCGCGGTGCTGCCCGGTGCCGCGCGCACCAATCG